AACCAGAATCTCAGACACTACTTCATGCAAAATCCAATTGAGATATAACATAGACTTAAGCAGAAAAGTTAACATAAAGCTTCTAGAAGAAAATTTAGGAGCAAATCTTTGCAAATGTGGCATAGGCAAGGATTTCTTAGGACACAAGAAGAACAATCATAAAGAAGAAAAGAATAAATTGGACCTCATCAAAGTTAAAAATATGTTCTTTGAAAGGTACTGCTAAGAAATTGAAGTCATAGATGAGAGAAAATATGTGTAATTTCTATGACTAGCAATGGGTCAGTGTTCAGAATATATTAAAATTCCTTCAAATCAATAATAAAAAGCAAGAACCCAATTTTAAAAATAGGTGAAAGGCATGGATATGTACTTCACAGACACAAATAAAAAGATGAAAGACTGGCAAAAATGCATGGGAAAGAGATGGCCAACTTCAATAGTATCAAGGAAATAAATGAAAATCTTAGTGAGATGTCAACCATGATGCACTGGTGCTGTAGAAGAACCCAGGACTGGGAGTAAGGGAGCCGGGATTCTGGTTCTGCTCACACTCCCTGGGAACAGAACTAGCTGTGCACTAAGTACAAAGTCTTCTTTATTTGCTTTTTCTTGCACTAGTATTTTAGGATTCTAAATTGTGCTATAGCATCTATGGTAATGAGAACCTTGTTGGTGGCTCTCATACAAAGATTTCTCTGTGAATGGAGTACTCCGATTTTCCACAGGGTGAATTTGAAAAAAATATACAAAATCCTGCTGGGAAAGAAAGTTCCTACTTTAAACTTTTCTAATAAATGACATTTTCTCTGAGACATCATTAATTCATACATTTTCTTCTTTGATGGCATAACATGTACTCTAAAGATATTCACTTTCAAAGTGCCTTGCCTCTTTCCTGGAAGCAGAAAAATTACTTTTTATCATGTGAAAATTGGCCTTATGCACTTTGGCGTCAAGTCCAGTACTTGATTCTCAGAGTTCTTCTAAATATTACTGCTAGAATGTAAGAGAAAGAACAGAATATTTAGCTTGGTAACAAGAAGGGATTCTCTCTTTGTCTTTCCTTCTACTTCCACCTCTCTTTGTAGCTGTATAGTTAAGGGCTATTGTGTGGATGACTAAACATTACACTTATTTGTGTGGTACCCAAAGCTCAATTCAGACCCATGGAGGAGGCTACAGATACGTCTGTTTCCATTCAAACAACAGATCTCTCTAGAAATGGCATGAGTCATGAATAAGTTCTGTATCCCTGCAGGTATCAAGTCGGCAGGTGTTTGTTGAGAGCAGCGTGGAAGATATTCGTGAACCAGGATGAACTCAATGACCTGTCTAGAAGTCCTCTTGGATACTTGGTGCTTAGTTGTATCAAGTGCAATAAAAAGGTGGGATGTATTTATCCCTGTAGGTAAGAGTCATTGTGCTGGGTGCCTTTGGCCAAAACATGATCTTAGTGCCTTGAGGTAGGTGCCACTCAGATACCAAGTGTAGTTTTTTTTAAGTGACATTGTGAGAAGTTGTTATAAATTTATGTTCTCTGAAGGTAGCTTTGGTTTTTGGAAACAATCCAAGTGGTCTGGGGTCATAATGCTGGACAATCCTGCTAGGAGGGTTAAAAAAATGAAGCATAGGCATGGCAACAGAGGAAGGAAGTTGATTTTCTTGGCATAAGCTCAGTATGAAATATGAGAGAGTTCCTCACAGTGGCATTTTGAAAATGTGGGCAGCCACGAAAGCACTGGGGAAAGCTGCACTCAGTGGGTGGATAGGGCTGGAGTGATTTTTTTCAAAGATCAGCCTTACACTTTGCAGCTATGGTGCCTGTGTCTAGACAAGGGATTGTTCATTTTGTTCTTAGGATAGAGCATTTCTGAGGCTGCTATAAGTTCTCATCCAGGCTTTCTCCTCTAGAAGACTCCCCACATTTCTTTGGAGAATCATAAAGACCCCACACGGCTGCCAGGCCTGGTCTCAGGTGATCTGGCTGGATGGTTATCTCTACCATGCCTTTGCCTCTCCCCTCCCCTGTGAACTCATTAATCTGCTGGCCTAGTGGAATGGCCCTGCTTACTTGGTGCATGTCCACAGCTGGACAGCTGCAGGAGTGAGCCACGTCCAAACACTTGGGGGGTGGGGCTGCTTGCTCATGGGATTTGGGGCACTGAGGATGCCATCTGCAGGCCTTTTTTAGGGGGAAGAGACTCATTCTGCTCCTCAAGAGGGACCTGGTTCAAATGATAAATTCTTCTGTGAGAGATGCACTGAGAAACCCCGATCCAGATTTATATAATGAATGAGACTAGAGCTTTCCCTCAGCAGCAGATTGGGGTAAGTGGAAAGAGACATCATTAGGGCAGATGACAGGGTGCCAAAGGAATTGGGAGAAGACGGGGCAGCTGAAGACAGACATTGGGAATGACCTCCCTGCTTTGTTCCAAGTCAGTCCTACAGTCTTTATTGACAGATGGAAAGGTGGAGATCAGACAACCTTATTATGGAACACACAGAATAATTCTCCTTTACTAGTTAAAAATCCTCAAGTTGAGCTGGAGATGTGGCTCAAGTGGTAAGAGTGCCTGCTTTACAAGCATGAAGCCCTGAGTTCAAACTCCAGTCTCACCAATAAATAAATAAATAAATAAATAAATAAAATCCTAATTTTGGACAAGAATGAGGGAGAGCATCTAATTGCCATCTGGTTGTACCTGGTGTGCATGGTTGTGGTATGGAAAATTATCACCTCCCCATCAATCATTTTCCCAAAGCATCTACCTTCTGCTTGTGGGGTCACCCTCCCCCCTTCTCACACAGCAGCTTTGAGTAAGGATGAATCATGGAATTCAGGACTGAGACAACCCATCCATTGCAATTTTCTGACCATAGTGATTTGTGCATGGTTAGCAGCAATGACACATTTGCTGGAGGTGCTGGGACCAAGGCAGGGAGCTTTTTTTTTTTCCAGAGTTGAACCTGGAATTCTTAAACCCACTGTCAAACTACCAAGAGTCTGAGACAAACAAATACAGGGCTGACAGAGCAGGCAGCTGGAAAGAAACAAGTCCTGATGGCATCGCTTGCACTCTGAATCCAACAGAGCCTGAAATCCAATCTTCCCCAGGACTTTTCATTTTTTTTTTTATTCAGTATGCTCAAGTTGAAGTATCTGCTGTTTGCTACCAAGAAGCTCTGACTGCATCAGTTTTGGGCAGCTGATGGACAGGGGCAGGAGCAGTAGGGTGGGATTCATGCACTGATAGATGTTGCAGGATGGTGATAGCAGTTCCCTACAATGAAGAGTTATCTGAAGGAGGTCCAAGCTGCCTTAAGTGGGGGGGTAAGGAAGGGGGTGGAGGGAAGGGGGGAGAAATGACCCAAACATTGTGTGCACATATGAATAAAAGAAAAAAAATAATAAAAATAAAAAGCTTTGTTTAATTCAAAGTCACTTCTGAATGATTACAGCAAGGAAGTCACATGCCCTTCAAATGCCCTTTTCAGGTATCTCGAACACAAACAATAAACAATGTGGTACAAAGGTTCTTATTTTGTGATTCTGATAGCAGGCCCTGGTGTGCAGGATTGCTACAACTAGGTCCTTATCACCAACTTGTTAGCATCCCTTCCTGGAATACAGCTGCCTGGCAGTCTCAGATGGAGGTCTTGAGTTCACTGGGCTGGTGATGGGCTCTCCTATTCCACTTTGCCAAACCATGGGAATCCAGTTGTGTTCAGAGTCATTGCTGGGCCTAAGACACAAAGGAGACATAACCATACCTTCTCTTTCTGAGTCTTTCCTATCTATGCACCTGACAGCCCATGTGCCTGATAAGCTGTGTGATCACTCATTCATTTGTTCACTCAGCAAATACTCAACAAACACCCAGGGTAGGCTAGGTATGGGGCACACAGTGATGAGCAAAGCAGACACAGTTCTTGTCTGTGGGGCTTCCAGTATGGTGGTCCTTCCGCACAGAGTTGGATTCCTTTCATCTGCCCCCTCTCCTGAGATGATTTCCTTGGGTATCTGGGGTTTGGCGTGTGTTTCCTTTGGAGGCAAGGTCTGTTTGCCCTTTGCTGCTGTCAAAGCCCTCCTCCTAAGGTCTTCTTTCTATCTGCTCCTCCTTTTGTCCAAGACTGACATGTTGTCTCCTTAATCCCAGCAACCAGCTTCCTATGGGCTCCAGCCCATAAAATCCTGGTGAGGTCCCTCCTAAAATCCAGGAGAAGCCTGGGCTTCCCAGGAATAACTTTATGAATATTGCTTTACATTTTAAACATCCATTTGCTTTAAATTCTAAGAGTGTACATAGCCCTGATGGGTGGCGAGAAAGCCAAGCCAAGACCCCGCGGGGCTCAGACCTGCTGTCCAGCTGCCTGAATGCTGCGTCAGCGATCAGAGACCCTGCCTGCCCCCGCTGGCCAGGATGTACCAGGGCTTTTTTTACCTTCCACCGCACAGCAGTCCAAAAACTACTGAGGGGAGAGGAAGATGATAGAGGAGAGGGTGTCCAGGGACCATCTGGTGATGATGGCATGGCGGGGAGCCAGGCTCGCCTTTGCCCTCAGTTTGTCCCAGGTCTTAGGCACCTGGCTGGCACTTCCTCAGAGAGTATGAACCCTGCACGTGACCGCATGGGAACTTCCTAGGGGGAAATAAAAGAAAAAGAATTTTAGGTTGCAAAGGTGTGAGGAGGACAGAAAGCGGGAAGGAAGGAGCGCTCCAGCAGGGACACAGGGTGCCAGGGCTGCCCTGAGCCCAAGAGAATCCCCCAAGCGCGCGCGTATACTACATGCCCACGTGCGTGCGTGTGCCAGGGGACCAGAGACTGGAAAACCAGAGTCGGAGACAGAACCTGGAGACGCAGAGGGGCCGCAGGCAGAGCCCCAGCAAGCGCGCTGCCAGGGCGCGGAGCCAGGGGCCGCCCACTGGCCGGGGAGCAGCGGAGCGCGCAGAGGAGGCGCGGGCGGCCGCTACGGCGACAGGGCTTCCCCGGGCTTCCCCTCCCCCGGCCGCGGGCGCCCGGCACGGGCCCGGGACGCGGAGGCGGCGCCCGCCGCAAGGGAGCTGGGAGTCCCCGAGGCGCCCTTTCTCCGCGCGCGCACGCGGGGCCCCAAGCGCAGGGAGAGGCCGGTGCGGCGTCCGGGAGCCCCGGGCCAGGCGGGAGGTTTGGGCTGAGCCCTCCCCGTCTCCCGCACGCCCCCGCCCGGCGCCCGCCTCCCGCCCCCGCCCGCGGCCTGGAGCGCGCCTCCCTCGCGGCTCAGGATCTGGCGAGCCGCGCGGGCCGAGCTGCGGGAGCCGCGGAGAGCATCAGCCGCCGCTGCGGGAGCTGTTCTGGCTGCACCATGCGGGAGCTGGCCATCGAGATCGGGGTGCGAGCCCTGCTCTTCGGGGTCTTCGTGTAAGTAGTGTCGCGCCGCGGGCGGGGCGCACCTACGCGGGAACCCACCGAACAAGCCTCTCTGCTCCCCAACTTTGTTTGAGCTGCCGTGTCCCGCCAGGGCCTGGGTTCTAGGTTTTCTCCTCGCCTGGTGCCCGACATGTGTCCTGCGGGACGAAGGGAGACCCTCTTCTCCCCTTCCTGGGACCCTAGATGCCCTGGGACTCTCGGGCACCAGGGCCGGGATCTGCTTGCATTGCCCTTATCCCGTTGGGGAGGGGGTTCGGCCCCGCACCACCTGGCCGGGGGATTTAGGCGCTCCCCGTACTAGGACGCCTGCGCACCCTGGCCCGCGCCCTCGGGAAGTTTCTCCCTCTGTGTGATCTTTCTTGACCAATGTTGGCAGTCTTTGCTCCTGGCCTCATCTCCCCTTGCCCCCCCACCACCCCGCGCCGTGCCCAGGGCCAGCCTTGGCCTCCTGGCTCCAGAGCTGGAGGTCCTGCCAAGCGGCTTCCCAGGAGGCGTTTGCGGGACTTCTCCCGCTGGAAAACTGTTGAGGCGGAGGCCCAGGTCAGGGGCCACAGCCGGGGTGTGGGCTGGAAATCTCCGTTTCCAGTGGATGTCTCTCCTTTGAGTGCGGGGCAGAGGCCTTTAGCTCTGAGCGCCGGCTCCTGGGAACAGTGATTTTGGGAAGAGGAGGGGGAGCTGGCGCAGTTCCTTCAGTGATGTCTGGGTTTCTGGGGCGCCAGGGACCTCAGCTCACCAACTCTAGGGAGGCCCCAGGGAACCTCTCCTATCTCTGCCTTTCAGATCCAGCCCAGGCAGTTAGTTGTAAGACCCACTTCTAAGCCCACCCTGAGCACTGTCACCTCACTGCCTACACTCTCTCTTCTGCCCATGGATTTTGTCTGACACATTTTAAATATTAAAGTTGCATGAACTTTCTGGATTTGCCGGTTTTTCTGGAACAAACCCCACTTAGGCCCCTCTCTGGATTTCTGCTCCCAATCTTATTCATTCACAGCAGGTGTGCCCTGTCAAAGATGACTTCCGATCCTGCTGCCTAGGGTATCCATGGAAAGAAATGCGCTTTTTTTTTGCATGTGTTCTTTACTGGGGATTAAATTCATCCAGAGTGTTTATTCACACCATCAGAAAAGGCAGTGAGCTCCCCAGATGCAGGCCAGCCCCCCTCTCCCGCCTTCTGACTGAACACTAGTGTCATTCACTGGAATGACAGAACTTCAGTTGAGTCTTGATGCATTTGGAAAAGCAAAGCGTTTTCCCTCCTTGAACTCTTGTTTTTCTACCTTTTTTTTTCTAATAAACATTAGAACTAGTGATTGCTGTGTGATATGATGAGGGTGCTTTTATTTGGCAGATAGGCTAAAGTCTTTTCTGATAGCAATGATAAAATACTGTTTCGTGCACTGTAGAATTTAACATTTGTTGGGTGAATGTTTGCATGAAAAAATACTGAAAGAAAGTGAAATAGGCTCTTAGACTACCCACTTTGATTGCTGGTTGGAAATTCCCATTTAAAAGAGGGGCTAACAGTATTGTTTCCCTTCCAATATCCCTGAAACATTTGTGAGATGTTTACAAATACACAATGAATGGCCTGTGTAGTGAATTTGGAAACTTGGTGATTATTGTTGATGTGCTATTACTTCCTGTAAGGATGTTATGTAAAAAACCAGGTTCCATTCTTTCTCCAAAATTCCCCTTGGTATTACTTCATGGGAGATCTGCTGTGACCTGTGTAGGCAGGACACATATGGGCATTGATGGCATTTTTGGATGACTCCCAGGTTTCATGCCAAATTGGAAATGTTAACCTTGTGCCCAACTTGTGGCTCGCTTACCTGCAAAGACCAGCCTCGGCATGATGGCACACAGGGAGGGATGTGAAGTGTGGATGTTCAAGTTCTCTTATCATCAGACAGATAATGACTACCTGGATGCTAGGAGCACAGATGTGTATGACCCAGATACAGATAAGCTTCTGGCACCTTGGCTTTTGGGGGAAATTTCATTCTTCTGGTTGCTAGTGGGTTCTTCCTTCCACTCAGGAAGATGGTGGTCTCTACAGCCCACAGAGGTTTGGAAAGTCCTTCCAGCTCTGCTGAATCTGATTTCCCTGCCGCAGTGTCCAGTGGAGCCTGGGCAATTCATCACCTCTTTTGACTTGGCATGTCTACCCTGCTTCCCAGGGTGAGAGACTAGTTTTGGGGGAAGTATATGTCACCTATTTGCAAGCTCATTTTCTTGTAGAAACCTCCTGCCTGGAACTCCAACACCTCTGGCTCGCATTCTTGCTGTGGATTCCAAGTTAGAGCTCATGACGTGTTTTGGAAGCTGAACGATGTGATCTCTCCCCGACCGACTCTTAAGGAAGGGTATTATCTTCAATCAGGTGTGCTGAGGTCTTGTGCATTGAGGATTTGGAAAGAAAGCTTTCCGGATCGTCTCTGTACATGCTCAGTGCCTTTTGGGCATCCCTATCTGAGAATTTCAAATAGCTGGGAAGAAAAATTACTAGTAAATGCAAATCAGGACCAGCACAGAAAGTTTAGCTAACAGGGAATAAGTTGGTTACAGGAACCCAGGGCTAGGAAAAATGAAAGTATGATGTGTAGTTTTAAGATTACTGGTAGTACTCTGAAGCTTGTGGGCTTTGAGGTCTTATGGATCTTATTCAGGGCCTGGACAGAGCAGGGAGGAGAAGCACCTAGGGGCACCCTTATCAGGCTTCCCTAACAGCTCCGGGAGAGATGCAGCAAGTGTTTTGCAAATGTCAAAGGTGGAGGTGAAGCTTACTCAGCAGCTCGGAGCTGTGAGTAAAGGACTCTGCAGTCCAGTGTGGACTAGCACCGGTACACCAGCGCCGTAACTCCCACTAATTGGGGTATACTACTGGTCATGCAGTAATGAAGACAATTCCATATGCCATTCACCTGATGAAGCCAGCCTACTGGTGTATCTTCATCATGGATTGAAGAAACCGAAGCACCATCACAAGGAACTGCCCAAGTTACAGAGCCGATCAGGGCGTCTCTGAGATCTAAATGCAAATGCTGCACCTGGGTAGTTTGGACTGTCAGTCTCCCTTTAGGGACAATGGCGGGCAGCATTGGTTAGTAAAGGGCCTTACTGTTTGCACAGGGCCTCTGGTGTGTTTTTCTTTGAAGCCTCATCCCACTTGAGGTGGATACTGCTCACTACCCTCTTTGTATATAAAGAAGACAGAGTTCAGAAAGGGCTTGAACCTACTCGCTCAGCTAGCAGGTCTAATGCAGAAGCAAACAAGAGGTTGTCTTGTGTCTCATAGCCATCAGCCACCGAGACAGAGGTGTCTAGTGCCAGATTTCCAGACTTTTGCTTCAGCGAAAGTGACCACATCCTGTGAGCCATTCACTTCTGTGACCTGTTACCTCCAGAAAGCAAGTGCACAGGGCCTTGAGTAATGTGTGGAAAAAGATGCCACTCTGGCTCTAAAATCAAGTCTTAGGGTGATAACTCAAAGGTGGAGGGACAGTGGTGGTTGCTCAGTCTCCCTAAAAAGTGGGACTTGGGCCTCTCCCAGAATTCGAAGATAGGATATGGTGAGGAAATTGCTAGTAAGAACTAAAATAGTTGTATTGAAGAACCAGTGGCCCATGCTTTCTCCTCCTGCTGATGTCTGTCACCCTGGATGTCAGTAATTTCAGAGAATGGTGCCTTCTCAGCACTGCAGAAATGACTCTGGAAAGATGATGCTGACCTGAAATGCTGGCCTGGGGCAAAGGTGTCTACCTATTTCGCTTGTCAGTCTGGGCTCTCTGTGCTTGTCTGTCCCTACTTCCCCAGGGTCCTTCCTTTCCTCCCTCTTTATGGTTCCTGGTGACTCTCTGTCTGCAATGTCTGGCCAGGAGTGTGAGTCTTCTCAGGTTTCCAGGGTGCTCAGCTGATGGCATTTACACCTCAGATCAGTTCTGCATCTTGCCTTGTCTCTGCAGGAAGCCTGTGCCAGGTGGGGGGAACAAGAGAAGGAAAGCCAAGTGGTCTCCAGTGAGTGCACAGTTCAGTAGAGCAGATACACAGTGGGCCATTCTGTGTTATTTTTCCCTTTGCCATTACTGGTTTTGAAATTACTGCCTTCCAGTGTTTCTCATATCATCTATCAGTGGATGGATCTTTATTTGGCAACTTCTAGGCACTTGCATGTGTTATTTTCTGTCTTTATCATTAGTAAACTCTGCTTGGTGTAACTCCAGCAAGACAGAGGAAAGCTTGATGGTTTAATGATCCAGGTCACTTGCTTGAAGGCACTGGAGGTTGGTAGATGTTTGAAATATTGATAGTAACTGTCAGACCTATCATCATTGTCCCTAAGAGTCCAGTCTAGGATTTCAGGCTGGGTCCATCATGGTAGTTGGAGAAAAGTGCTCAGCTTTACTGGGGGCAGAGAGGGAGTTAACCCTGGGAGGGATGGGAAGGAAGGGACAGGTCCCAATGAAGGCTGCCCAGAACTAGCATCTCGCTGAATCTTGAGCCTCGAGTGGCAGGTATACAGGGCTTGGGCTTAAGGACATTCTTGCAGAGCTAAGGCCTGAGATGGTGTGTGAAGGAACATTTTGGGTGGAGACAGGCTCAGACTGTGGGTTTCAGGGGTGGGGAGGTGATAGGAAGTAAGCCTGGGATGAGGATGTGAAGAGCCTCTGTGCCCTGTCAGAAGGGTGCTTGTTCCCTTAGAGGCAATAACTGGGAGGCTCTGGAGATTTGGAACACAGAACGTGAGGCTTGAATGTTTGCCCCGTGGTGGAAAGGGGCTGTTCTGTTGGGTACCCACGACCTATCCACTTCTGTGAGTGATAGTATACAACTTTGCCACTGCCACTCCCACTTCATCACCAAGAGTACAGTCTTTATTAAATCTTGCACTGTGGTCAGTCATGTCCAAGCCTGGCTCTGGACTGTGAACTGCTGCACTCTGGGAGCCAGGATGTGCCCTTATCTTCTTTCCCCTTGGTCCCCATTCC